ATAAAACTAACTCGTTTTTAATGCCTTAAACCTTTAGAAATACGCATTTGTATACAGTTAGTTATATGTAAAATGAGGTAGACTTAAAAAAAAATTAAATATTAAATAAAAGTAAATATTTCTTTTATTCCTGCCACTAGTGCTATGAATTTCTTTCAACCACAAAATAAGTTAAGTTTTATTTTTGCAGCGTGCTCTTTTCAACATACCTTAAGTTATTTTATCAGATGTACTAGGCGACAAAATACACTGGTTTACAGCAATTCCTATAAAGAATAGCTCGCTGATTCCGAAACTCGACTTAATTTTTTATTCTATGGATACGTTTTCAAGATATTTTCAATTTACCGTTATTCTGCTTAAAACAAAAAGTGGTTACACTTAATCACGTATACGTTACGAACCCATTTAACAATCTCAATATGAAGTACGGCAAATGAAAGCTAACAAAATTCTACATAGACCGTGTATACATCACTGTGCGATAGGTCTGATAGTTTCTGATAAATTAATTCTTCATTCTAGATTTTTTGTTTTTTTTCTGATGAAAATATGGAAAAAAAAACTTTAACAGAAGAAAAGTTTAAAAAATAACATGTTCTGTGTCAAATTCTTACAGTTTTAATATTTCTCCTGTTAAAATTTGATTTTTGTTTCATCAAAAAAAAACTGGACTGATTAATTAATTTGTCAAAAACTATCAGTTCTATCAGAAAGTGGTGTATAGACGGTTTATGGAAAATTTGGTTAGCTTTCATAGGCCGTATTCCACTTACAGTTTGTTAAATTGGTTCATAAGACATACATAAGTGACTAAGTGGAACTACCTTTTGTTTTAAACTGTATAACGGTAAATTGAAAATATCTCAGCGGGCTATTCTACATACAAATTGGATAGTGGCGTCTGAATAACAAAAACCACATTAAAATTTGTGATACAGTGTTATTGAAGTACACACCTTGTTCAGAATTTTGGGATGTTACGGGTGGCTTCTATATAAAAATAAATCGTGTTTATTTGTTGTATGTAAGCAAATGAGAAAAAAAAATTCTAAAAAATCAACGATACTTTTTAGGGACTTGAAACTTGCACTCTGTTTCACTAGAATTGAATGAGCTACATAACTGCATACCCGAAAATCTCCTAGAAATTCTGAATAAAAAGTCGAAAATTTTGATGCAATTTTTATGAACTTTATATGAAGTGAGAAACTTTGATTTACATATATGGTCTATGTTAAAGAATGAACTATATTTTCATAAATAAATGCAAAAAATTTATCATGAAAATAATTGTGAACATTACATCAGAACAAGGTGTACACTTTAATTTGTCGCCTAGTGATTGAGCACGCTAAAATATTATTAAATGCGCATTAATTTAATTACTGTCTTTTTTGTGACTAATGACATATTTTTTACTTTAAATAAAGAATTAAGTTTATTTATTTTTTATAATATGGTAGGAGAGCTTCTAAAATAATATCGTAAAAATCGAAACAAAAAAAAAATCCATAGTACACACGTATACCTATTCATTGAAATAAATAATGTAAAATTTTTCACATCGAAGCTACAATAATGCCAGCTTTTTTCTCGCAAAATAACAACCTGCACGTGCTGTTGTGCGTCCTGTAGTTGTCCCTCTCACTTTGCATTGTCTTCCAAATTCGATGTTCACAAAAACTAGATGCTGAGAAAATATTCGCATTTCAACGGATTTGGATTTTTCCAACAATGGGCTACACTTGTGTACATCAAAGAGCCTACATACATATGTACGTACCCGAGCGTTTCCCGTGCACGTGTCGTGGGATGGCTGACGTTCATCCCGTGACGACCATTAGCGTTTCCTCATTTCCAGTAGACTTTTTGCATGACAAGCGAAGTAATTTTTTCGGTGACACCATTTTATAAACAAAAAACTTCCCATTTTAACTAAAAATCTTTCATCATATTTACGAGACCCAAATTAACAGCGGAGAAGAAAATTCATGGAATTCGATTTCATTTGTTTTGCTGCTTGAACAAAGAAAATTGATATACCAAATATAGACAGGAGGTTTGCGTATCGGTCGATATTAATTTAATCGGTATCTCTGAACGGTAATCCCGGGATTTCGAGCCATAGAAAGCTATAAGTAAGAGCTATATATAGGTTGTATGAATTGGAATTCTTATGGACGAAATATATGTATATTTAACCCCTTTATACGACATTACTACGATTTGAGCAAAAATTAGTGAAGTAAAAACTTCTTCAGCCAGTTCCTAAAACTGATGTACAAAATTTACTAAGTATGTATATACCTACTAAGAACTTTTTATACATGTATTAAGGTATTTATGTTGCAGTAAATAGTCAAGCACTTTTACGTATGTAAATTTTGTGGGTGTCACTAAATACCGAGTATGATAGTAGTTACATACATATTTTTCGAATACTGTTTTTTTTTAATAAAAGCATTTACTTACGTATGTTCTCATAAATATTTAAATACTAAATATAAAAATATTTAGTTACTTTTAGGAAATAACGCGTACGCGTACAATATCTGGCTTCACTAAATACTTCATACAAAATTAATCCCCCGAAAATCGATACTATGTCCGAAAGTCTCGACATAGTATCAAAACCCCGAAAAGTCCTAAAAGATCGCGAAAAATATAACATAAAAAATCCTTTAAAAAAAAGTTTTAAAAAGGATCCTTAACAACTCCGAAAGTATGAAAAGTTTCGAAAAATTCTTAGCATCACCTGCTTAAGTACCCCCCGCTTAAGTACCTAACACGTTTAAGTAACCAAAATTTTTGGGCACCGTGAATATTTTAATGTAATCTGAAGAAAACCCCTCTTTTAATTACCTCCCCTCTTATTTACCCAACCCGCCTAAGTACTTAAATTTTTCGTATCCCATTTTCCATTTTACTTATAATTTTCTCCTATTATTCTAAAAATCAACGGTAATTTTTAGTCACTTGAAACTTGCACATTAGTACACTAAAATGGAATGGGCTATAAATACTTCTGAGAAAAAAGTTAGAAATTATGGTGAATTTTCTTTTCAGTGTTTTAAAAAATTTTAAGCTTGAAACTGTATGTATAAATATGTATAATCAATAACTTTCATGAATTGAATGAATGACATAACATAGCTTTATCGAGTTTTTTATAAACTTTTTGTTTATGTGTTTATATGTTTAAATAATGCTACGTACACTTCATTAAATGTTCACGTTTTATTCAAGGACTTATTTATGTAAGTTAACAAGAAAATTAACTACATCATTAATTATGTTCGCGTTAGTACACGCATCACGGTACTTAAGCGGGTTCTTTTAAGTACCCAACCCGTCCAAGTACCTCAAAAAGCTGAAATTTTTCGTGAGGTACTTAAGCGGGGTTTGCTGTATCAACAAAGTAAGAAAGCAACAATTACCGATTATTTTTTCTCTTCCAGTGCCATCTTTAAACATCTCTTAATACTTAGTAAAAGGGTTTTTGGTATCCAAACACGTTCTTCAAATACAAAGTTACTCAAGTAATTCAAGAAAGCAATTTCAGTGCAATATTATACTAAAGTTTCTCATTTTTGTATAGTAACCAATTTTACGAGAACGAAACATATTTTTGTTTGAATTTTAGGGCTGTCTGCAGCTCTCAAGAAAAACGAAAAATTCATATAAAAGAAATGGAAAAGAAATTTTATTCTACCAAAATTTCTTAAATCAGTATGCAGCTCTCAAGAAAATAAGTTAATAATAAAAAAATATGTTTTTTAAACAAGCTTACTAAGTATGAACCAAATCGGACTATAAATACGGTAGAGATACGATATCGAAACTAAAGTACCGATATCTGTAGTTCTAATTTAAAGCATCGCTGTAAAACTATCGGGTACCCATTAATATCGGGACAAAAATACTAGATATCCCAAATATCGATACTAAATTCAAATAATTACATCTAAGCATTGGTCTCATTTTCTAATAAACAATGTACACTTTGCGCTTTAATAAGTGTTTGCTTATACACAAGTAATTGTATTGTTTGACATCACCGAAGCCGCGGTTTAAAGTACCGCCACATACAAACCTAAGATAGTATACATTTCTGCTCTTTAAACTTTAAAGTTTAAAGCGTATACATATAAATTCCAAAGTAAGGACATGCATACATATCGTTAGCTTAATATAGAAAGGCCCTAACTCATTTAATTTCGAAATCCAGCTTTGTAGAAAAGGCATCAGATCTATAAAAATTAAAAATAATGTTTGCGATATTAAATTACATACATCCTTTAATACAAAACAGCGTTTGAAAGAAGTTCGCAAATTAATAACTTTACTATATTCGATTTAAAGATTATTATCCGAAGTAATAATGTTAGATAGGGCCTTTCTATATTAAGGTAACGACTCCTGCACCACCTATCGAAAAATTTTTTTATGGAGTTATTCCTTTTCACGTAAGTAATTTAAAATTTTTAAGACTAAAGTTTTCAAAAGCACAATAATACCATAATGGCGTTATTTCCATTGTCAGTTAAAATTAAGGCCATCTCGAAAATATGGTTTTATTTCCAGTCACAGAACGAAAAAAAAGACATTAAAGTCTTACTGCATATGGCGTTTTTGAAGCCGACCTAATAATTGGCGATTACGACAGCAAATCTCGATAAGTACGCGGGAGCATATCGGCGAAGCGGGCGAGCTTGCAGCGAAGATTAAATATGTATATTCATAAGTATGTATTGACCCCGTGAATGGTTTTAATTCTATAGACTTAGACATACATATGTAAAAGCGTATCTTTTGGGCGGAACTCGTAAATCGCTTTTATAACACGTTACATATGTACGAAAATATAGATAATTTATATTTATATACATACTTATGTAGTTCATATTTATTACATACTCAAATGAAGATAATAAAAGAAAAATCTAAAAATAAAAACACAATATCAATGTTAAAATAATTAGAACTTGCCAACTCACCCTACGCCGCGTTTCGTAATCAAGGGCACCCGCAACATAAATGGCACCAGTCATATTCTTAACCGCAAAAGCGCCACCAATGTTACCACTTGTAATTTCGTAACGTATACGCGATGCTGTACCCCATATTAGAAAAATGCCAGTATTATCAACAGCGGAGATAACAGTTGAAATGAATATTGTTGGTGATGTTGGTGTTTGATGTTGGCATTTTTAATTTCATTTGATATTTTAATACACAGTGACAGTGAACGCGTAAGTTCACCAATAAGACATCAAACAAAGCCATGCATACATAGGTATATATGAATTTCGTTGATGTAATGGTTGCAGTGGATGTTACATTACAATGAGCATCAGCAACAACACCAGTACCAGCATATCGCGGAGCAGCGAAGTGTAATTTCAATTTAAAAGAAGGAGAAAAGAGATAATAATTTTTGGATAGTAACGAGTATTTTACTTTTGATACTTCTTCGGCTTTAATATTTTTTACTTGCTTCAGTGTATGTATGTATATGAGTGTATGTATGTATAAGAGAGATGTAACGGATATTTGGTAGCTGTTCGGTTTTCAGGATATCCGGCCTAAGTTTACCTTTCGATCGAATATTGAGTTAGTATCCGGTATCCGGCCGGCCGGATAGGGTCTTAAACCTATTTTAGTAAAAGAATCTTTGTTAAACTTAAAAAAAAAATGTTAATGAAATTATTCAAATTAATCCTCAAAATATATTCATCAGCTATGCTGCAAGAACGGAAACAATAACATTTTGAAATCGGCTGACTGTAGAAAAAGGCAAATAGAATTAATCATGTGAAAATAAGGGGCTAGGTAAATATTGGCCAGCTTTGACAAAGTTTGCCCTTGAGTTGTTTTAACGCAATAGTGAAAGCTTCTTTTAAAGAAAACTATAAAAATCAACAGCTTTAGCGAAAACCCAAATTAAATTTTATTTTGCTGAGCCAGATGGGCATGGGTTGGTCTTTAGAAATATATTTATTTTGACGACTTGTTATCCGGCCGCACTATATTCGGCCAAATCACTATCCGTTACATCTCTAATGTATAACTACTTAGGTTTGTACTTACATTCGTCGTGATCCTTGGCTGTGACGGTCAGCACAGTATGTTGGATATCCTCGTTTTCGTCCACTTCTGCTTCATAAAGCGACTTATCGAAGTAGGGCGGATTGTCGTTTTTATCGGCAATGCCAATGCGTATAAATTTTGTCACTATAAGTATGAACGAATAAGAATAAAGAGAGAAGATAATGAGCACTTGTGATAAAATGATATGTGGTGGGAACTATAGAATTATTTAGCATACACTTGTGTAAATAAATACTTGGCGACTGCGATAGGTTCCGGGAATCGCATTTGTATGTATGTATATTTGTATTTATATTTTATATGATATGGCATAAATTAAAGTTTTGTTTATGGCCATGGAGATGTATACATAAATATACATATCTATGAAGAGAAAAACAGGGTTACCATTATCATGTGTATTAGTATCTTCACTGTAGTTTCATGATATTCATATTGGCTGGGTGGAATAAATACTTTAGCTGTGTTTGACGGGAATTTAAGAAGTTTTTGATACGTTGCTATCATTACACTGAGGGGAAAAGAAGATCAAACTAACTTGATTTAAGTATAGATATGAGTCTAAATATTTCATTCTTTAAATAAAAATTTCGTACTCAAATCAAATATGATGCTGCCTTATTATGAGTACGAGTATTTTATTTTAAGAAACATTATAAAGAAAAAGGTCGGGTTAGTTATAACAACCTTTCATACTTCGACTTAGAATGTTATGCAGCGTTTTTCCTGCATTTAAAATGCAACATTTAGCACTTTCGAACATATGTTTTCGAAGAGCGTGCATGCTATCGCATTTAGCAAATGTACATTTACGGGAGTTCGAAATCGCATGCTTTTGACGTGTTTCAGTCGCTTATTCAGATCCGTATCTCACGCAGAAGATAATGTGCAAAAAACCCTAATGAAAAGGAAAAAATAAATTTTAACCCAAAAATTCAATACAAAAACGTGAATTGTTTTAACCACAACCGAACATTTCTGTGTTCATATGGAAAAGTAGCTTATGTCGAAAGGCTGGCTTTAGTATAAATCGGCATTCGCAGCATACGATTGCGAATGACTCACTGGCGCTAAGACGTTGAACAACTTTTGGCAAATAAACGTGGAAGAAATAGTTCCGATACTAGCAAGGCAATATTCTTATTAAGTCTCATCAAAAAATTCCTTGCCGTTTAAAAAATAAAGGGATTGCCGCATTATACTAAAGCCAACCTTTCGACATAAGCTACTTTTCCATACGAACACAGATTTATTTGTGTATATATTCATTTGTCGGTGCTGTCAATTAAAATTCCCTCACTTAATTAGGAAACAAAACCAACAGCGTTGATCAAAAATTGATCCAGATTTCTATCAGCATCATATCGACATTGAATTTGCGTAACTTTTCTTTATCCAAATAATGTAAAATAATAAATGAAATCTCGATCGGCGATCACTGAAACGCAGCTAGCCACTGTATGCGCGAAAGAGCAATGTTGCCACTTTTTCTCATTAAACCATGTTCGAATCGTGGAAATTAGGGAAGATCACAGGCTTGCTTTTAGCATTTAGATTCTTAATGCAAAAATGGAGTTGCATTTAGGCGACGAATTTTGTACATGTACATTTAGAACTAAATGCGCTAAATGTGCTTTTACGCGTAAGCAAAAACAGCCCATTGTATGTGAACAATATTTTCACAAAAAGACGCTTGAAAAAATGAATGATATATACTTAATTTTTTAAGTTTGCATGATCTTAATTCCAGTATTTGGTACTCAAAAATATCGTACTTAATATAAGATTTGTGTTTTCTATTTTATTATTTTCAATCTTAGTCCGATTTTAAGTTCGGAAATGCTAAGATCGAGTACGAAAAACTTGATTCCTTCTCTGAGTATAGGGATTTCATATGCGAAGCTTTTTAAGGTGATCAGTTTCCATCGAATGTTGCCTCAAGTTTTAAAAATGTCTCTATGCCATGATCCTCAATTAAATAACAAAAATGCCAAAAAAAAAGTAAACCATTTTGTTCCTTTTCTTCAAAATTTATATGGCAATATTTAATCCCAATGAACTTCAGAATCTTTAAATTCCAGATGTAAGTCTTAAGTGGGCTATTTAAAAAAAAAATTAATTTTTAATATACCGTGTTTCTATACATACACTAATAGCCCAGTTATGCATACTTTGCACTGCTATACCATTTTTATTTAAAATTCAAAACCCAGCAGACTTCTACATGTGAAGTGCTACGCGTTGGCTAACTGCTTACACGCAAAAGTCATTTAACAGATTCCTTATGTGACAACTCTCATGCTACGCCAAGTATGCATAACTGAGCTATAAAGGTAATAGCCCAATGCAGGCTTTCTTTGCTTGCTTCGCTTTGAGAACTGTCAAGAATTATTTGGAATATGTATAATAAAACGTATGAAGGCTGGCCATATGGCAGTTTT